GAGCGTCGGAAAGAACTCGAATTGAATGAACAACAAGTCCGTTCGTTGAATTTATCGATTCAAGAAAACCGGCGAGAACTTGAGGTTGCGGTGAAGAAAAAGCTCGCGACGCAGGAATCGGTGGCGGAGAGACAGAAGGAACTTGATAAAGTGAAGAAAGAAATTAAAGATCGCGCTAAGAAATTGGATTCGTTGGAGAGAAGTGTGAGACAAAGATCTGAGGAATTTGAGTCCAAGGGTAAAGAACTCAATTCGGTTCGTGGAACGTTGAAGAAGTGCAGAGAGGATCTTGATTGTAAAGAGAGGCAATTGTATTCGATTCGAAGGTCTCTTGAGGATAACAGGAAAGAAGTTGAGTTGATAGACGATCAACTCAAGAAATCTCGAAATTCAATTCATGATTGTGACTTAGAAATCAAGCTGAGAGAGCAAAGGCTTCAGGCGATTCAGGATTCTACCGCCGAACGCTCTATTGAACTCGAAATGAAAGAAAAGGAACTCGATTTATTGTGTAAAGATTTGGAATTGGAAAGGAAGATGTTTGTTTCACTGAAAAAATCGGTGGAGCAATGCACTTCTGGGTTTGATGCGAAAGAGAGGAAATTTGAGGCTTTGATGAAAGCTCTCCAAGTGAAGGAAACGTCATCCGAATCAAAAATTGAGGAACTTGGTTTGACCCACAAGAGGGTCAACGAGTGCCTCAAAGAGTTGGAATTGAAAGAGAAGAATTTTGCTTCTCTTCAAAGACAGGTGGAAGAACGTTTCCATGAGCTTGAAAAGAGAGAGAAACAATTCGAAGCCACAAAGAAAGAATTTGATTCAATTCGAAATACACTTGCGTTTCGATCAATGGTGAAAACTAAAGCCCCAAATTCTCACGTAAAGATCGAACAATCGGACAATGATCAGAACAGTGGCGATTTCCCATCACTTGCAAGTAATCAATCTTGCATCACTAATGGCCACTCCTTGCAGGTGCTATTGAGCGAGCAATTGAAGAAGCAAGAATCACTTTGTACTGACATCTATACTGTTCTTCAACGATCACCAGACCCCGCGAAGTTGGTGTTGGATGCAATTCAGGGATTTTTCCCTTCGCATTCCAGCGCGGCAAATACGAGCCTTGATCTGGGTATTGTGAGGAGTGGCTGCATTCTTTTGTTGGAACAGTTGATGAAAGCCTCGCCGCCGATTAGCCCTCAAGTGCGGGAAGAAGCAATGAAGTTGGCGGGTGACTGGAAGGCTAAGATGACTCTGAATGCACCGAATGTTTTGGAGGTGTTGGGTTTTGTGCGGCTTTTAGCTAGCTATGGATTGGCCTCTGCTTTTGATGCGGACGAGGTTCGCAGTCTTCTCGATGTTGTCAGTGCGAACGGGCAGGCATCCGAATTACGTCGAACCCTTTGCGTTGCTGATAAAGTACCCGGTGAGCTTCTGTTTATCTCTCTATGCATAATACATTTTACGTTAACGGAGGTCTCAAAATCCAGGACTTTGGATAAGTTTGTGAGTAGAAATCTGCTTCAACCTTATAATAGGGCGCGAATAAGATATGCAACGTTGGGACCCATAACTGTTATTGGAACAAAAAAGCGTACCAAGTGGTCCCAATTCCCTTGGACTCTTAGTGGTGTCCATGTGTTTGTGGTCCATCGACATTTCTGTGGGGTTTCATCCATCTTTTTTCTGAATTCTGAATGGTTTTTTTGGCATACATCATTACCTAATCTTGTCTCGTAAAATCATTGTGGAAATATTGCTAGATACACGCCATTTCGTCTAGTTGATTCTGGACTGCAAGCTGTAGATATTTTATGTCTGTAAACCACAAATTAATTTAAGACTGCAGCCTTATTCTTTTCACAACTAAATCACAACTTAAGTTATATTATTACAGTATTTTCTGTCCTAAAAATTCAAATTTCACTTTTTTTCTTGCTACAGTGTTTCTTTTTCTGCAAACACAACTCAAGTTCTTAACTTGAGTAAGAACTTGAGTTGTGAAACAAACATCCTCTGCGGCGTTTCTAGGAGGTTTTCATATCCACATTTTGGCGTTGTTGCGCCTAGAAAGGGCGACCTTTGTTGTGTCTTCCCCTTTGCTCTTTCTTTTTGGAAATTAAATTCTTTAATACAATGCCGAATCGAACCCCTGCCCTCCCAAACCCAACCCTTTCCTACACTATCGTATGTTGTCTGACCTAGTGGTCATTGGCAACAATTTTGAATCTATTTATAGCATAATTAATGCTGTATTTGATTCAAGTCCGTTTTAACGCTCATATAGTATCTTTGGATTCCGAGTTTTTATAACACTTGTATAAGTATCTTTATCTTCTTTGGGGCTACTCCACATTCTGGCAGGGCCCAACAATTATCAAGTGCCGACTGAATAATTAGTTTCCATTTGTGCCAGATCATATTCTTAACTTCGGCATATACGGTGCACTTAATACTCCATGTTATTGCTACAGTTTCCGTTTGTTCTTATTCCTCTTCATAGCGAGATCTTCTCTTCTTTCTGCAGTTGACATTGGGCAGGCGGAAAATTCAAGGGCCATTGCCAACATTGCCACCAGTTCTCCAAATCATCATTCCAGTACAAACCCAAGCGGAAGGAATCCTGAATTGGTTGAACATGAAGATTTGATTGGTAAAAGTTTGACGCAAGATGACATTATAGCTGCTCTTCAAATGCCTGACCCAGCAAAGCATGTGCTGGGCGTTGTAGAAGGATCTTTTTCTCAACTTTGGAAGAGAGGAGATGTAGGTTTTGAGGCATGTTTCATGAAGAGTTACATTTTCATGTTTGAGAACCTATTGAGGAACTTACCACTAATTCAACCTCATATAAGAGAAGATGCCATGAAGGTAGCAAACCAGTGGAGAAAAAGAATGAGAGAAGATACTGAGAATCCTTTGGAAGTTTTGGGTTTTTTGCAGTTTCTAGCTGTATATGGATTGGTCTCGTCATTTAATGAATATGATATTTCGGGTTTTCTGGAGATGATTTCTCGACATAAACATGCTTTGGAACTAAGTGGAAGCCTTCGTGTTGCATATGAGATCCCTGGTAAATATTTTTGGAAAATTTGCTTAGTTAGTCCGTCTGTTGATTGGTTTGCCTAAATACGACTCTTACTCTCTTTTTTGATGGCCTTTTTAGACATAACTGAAATGGTTTTTGTAAAGTCTGCTATTATTTATTTCACATCCTGCAGAATTTATTGCTAATTTTCTGAAAAGGAAGAGAAATATTGAGGCTGTTAGACTCTCCTTCGCATTTATATTAACTGACAAGTTCTCGCCAACGAAATTATTGACGGAACACATGGAGGATGCTAAGAGTTATACCAGGCAATTTTGTGACAGAAAGTATTCTATCGAAGAAAAGGTTTGAAAAATTTCTTTTTAGATCTATCAATTTCTGCTTCTCGGATAAGTAGACTTGATTAACAACTGCTAAAAATCACTTACAGGACGAGATCACGGACAGGGAAATTGCTGCTCTGAGAGACGTAGTTCAGTGCATTAAAGATTGTGATTTGGAGTCTCAATTCCAATTCGAAAACATTTTGAAACGTATTTCTCTCCTCGAAAAGATAAAGGACGATAGGAAACATTCAGCGTTATTTTTCCAGTCCAGCAATGAACAACAACTGCAGCAGACATGCAACAAACGAAGAAATGGCACTCTCTCACCTCTTGACCTACCGCTGCAACAGAGTAAGAAAAATTGCCTCAGGAAGCCTCTTTCAACAGCTAAACACCGTGACCGGCCGGCTCCTATACCTGTCTCACAGCATACTAATTGTTTATCCAAGTTGCATGGAACTGTTTTGGCTGCTGGTAAACGCAATGTTGTTCTTGGTGCTACTTCAGGTGCTTGGCAAGTATGGTAGCCTTGCCTGACTGGTATGGATAACATGGTCCAAGTTTTTTCTTTTTTCCCTCATTACCTTAAGTCTCACACAGGGTGATCAATATTGCTGATCTTTTTTTCAATCACACACCCTTAAAATCGTATGTGATTGGACGGAAAATTAGCAGCGAGTATTAACCGGCGATATAATTTAGCATCTTTTGTTTTAAATTTTTATCCATATATTTTCACTAGCTAATAGCAGGGGCTAGTTATAGGTTGTATTATGAATTAAAATTATTCAGCGAAGCCCGCTATTAGAAGCGTTGGTCTAGTCTCCTAGTTTTAAGCCTTGGACCTTTTATGCTTAATTTTCGGTTTTTTATTACCTCCTTAACACAAGCCTGTGTCTTGTGACTTTCATTAGATTGACCAATGATAGGCAGAACAGCTGTAATATCTTGAAAAGGCAAACATGTTTGTATTATGCAGGTTCCTGCATTGCTTATGTTAGAATTTTGTGCAGTGCTAATAATGTCTATATGGAGACATGACAAAATTGTCGTTGGTGATGCTACTGTTCATTCATATCTTTTGTTCAAGAGTGTGAGTTTTGATGGGGTTATTGGTATAGCCTGTAGGTTATTCTATACGTGATTCTACCGTAAAAAGTTTTGAGTTCAAATCTCTTTAAACTCAAAAAAAAAAAAAAAAAGGGACAAAAAAGAGTTTTTATATTGCCTTTTTAAATAGAAGAGGGAAATAACATAATTTGGGATCATTAAAAATTAGGGATTTTTTTTGGCAGGATCTTTTCTACCTGTAGTTGTTTTATAGCCGTTAGATTTTATTAAAATCACATTAGATTCTAAATATATGCAAAAAAAAAAAAAATTTAATACAAACTTGACAATTGAAAGTAGAAAATTGCCTGTATTTTCATTTTTTCTGGCAAATAAGAAAAACTTCTTAAAAATTAGTGGAATTTGGTAAATAGCATAATTGTATGATTATCGTGGCCGCACCGGAAGAGAGAGAAAGTAATGTCTGGTACAAATTGGTAATAAGCAGATAGAGTGAAGAGGTCAGGTGGAGATTAGGGTTGGCAATAGGGATAGCAATATGATAATATAATTTAAAATATGCATAAAGTTAGTGAGTTTAAACTTATTAAAAATGAGTTTGGATCATAATCGTGTTGATACGATTAACACGATTAATAAATAAGTTGAGTTAGAATTAATCTCTTAACACGAAATGACATGAATTAATACGATTAATTATATATGTCATCTGTAATCTAATTAAATGTGAGATAACATAAAAGTTTATATAACATATTAAATAATGTGAATTTTAATATTTATAAGTAAATTTTATTTATTTTTATTAAAAAAAAGATAAATTAACTAATAAATATGTTAAATTTATCATGATTGTATTAAATAAGTTATTTATTTAATATATTAATTTAAATGAGTCATACAGATTGATACAATTAACATAATTAATAAATGAGTTATATTTAAATTTATATTTTTAACATGTTTAATAAACATATCGTATTTAAATTAATATTTTTTGATTCGATTAATAAATTAATTGACACAAACACAACCTTAAGATGAATTGCTGCTCCTACCAAAAGTTACCCTTCAACTAAGATTCTGAGAGGAGAAGCTTCGCGCGAAAAAAAAAAAGAAAAAAAAAAACCGCTAAGAAGTTCGTACAAACCCACTTCAAATAGCTTTAAACGAAGAAGAAAGAGCTGTTGCGGAAAAAAAAAAAAAAAAAAAAAAAACGAAGAAGAAAGAGAAGGAAGATCCACAAAGGGACCCACAATATCAAACCAACCCAAGGGAGTGAGGGACTGAAACAGAGCTTTGATCAAGAATGTCGTTTTACTAATACGACACAAGGTATTCTTCTTTTATTTCCTTTCCTTTGCTTTCTCTGTCTCTCCTTTTTTTTTTTTTTCTTTTTTTTTTTCCCCTTTTTTTTTTTTTTTTTTTTTTTTTTTTTTTTTTTTAGGGCACAGCTCACACAAAAATGGGATGAAAGAAAGTTGAAGAAGCTTAGTAACAGTAGAGGAAGGTTGTCAATAATTTTAAAGTAAGAACAAGTTCGTTGGACATTAGTAGGTTTTTTGTCTCAACAATAAATGAATAGTAAATAGATAGCAAACCAGATATTTTGCTAGTTCTTGTTACTCTTTCTTGTGTATTTTCTTTTTCTTTTTTTTTTAATACTTTTTGGAGTTCAAACTTTTCACCAAAATAACTTTTGTCCGACATATAACTCTACGAATGCCCACTGCAGGTTTTCTTTTTTCTTTTTTTTTTTTTGACCGTTTCTCATGTAACGGAAATAAACATTAGAATGGTACATCACTAGATCTCTAAGATGGCCTTTAAAAAAAATAAAAAGGCCTTTTTTTCAAAATAAAAAAGATTTTTTATTTAAAAAATCAACAAATTTAATTTTCTTGTATTTTGAAATGCAAAATATTTATTAAATCTTTATGGTTATTATGAAAGTGAACAATAATGATCAATAAATTGACAAGAAGGAAGTAAGGAAGAAATATTATTTTAAAAAAATTTTGAAGTCTTTTATGTGTTGATAAGCAATGTTGGAGCCTTTTACTTTTATGTTCTTCATAACATATAAAGTAGATACAAGTGAATATTTATTTGTAAGTAAATAAAATAATCATTTTTTAAGGTTTATTTGTGCTTAAAAATAAGAGTTGGTTTGTTGAATATGAAATAAAAGCAATAAAATAAGAACGTCAGGCAATTGCCTAACCTCCCCAAAGGCTTTAGCCGCCAGTGAGATGGATGTAACAAGCAAATTATTACAATAAATAAATTGTTTAAACAATTTATTTGACTAAAGAACAGGGAAACAAATTCCATAAAGGAGACAATTAGAGCTCTAAAAGAAATAAGTTTTCGGTTCTTTAAAAATGTCGTCTGCCTATAGTGTGGGTTGTTATGATTAATATCATAACGAATCTGTTGTCGATGTTGGTCATAAAATATCATGAAACACTACTAGATAAGAGACATCATAAAACACATCAAACTGTAAAACCTTACAGAAAAACACACCTAGATAAATATATGTGTGAACCGAACCTATTACCACTATAGAATGAGATTTAAGAGGATATACAAAATTGATGATGTTTAGAGGATCTCTCCCTGATGGAACATATTATCAGAGTTTATTATAAAAGATAAGACGAGGAGAAGAAGTAGAAGAGAACTCTATGGCCGGCTCGTCAAATACCTTATGTAATAATTATATTTTCTTAGTGATATATACCTTGTCATTGATTTATAAACCCATTTCATTAGTGAAATGATTGATTTTGAACTCTTCTGTTTATAGAATAGGTCATTATTATATTTACTGATGTATTACATATGCATATTTTTATATTGACTCGGGGTATTTACTCTGTTGCTTTGTGGAATCTTTTTTTTTTTTTTTTTCCTTTTAGTTATGAGTTTATTTTGGCTTCCACTTTGTAATGTTATTCTCTCATAAGGGAATAATGTGTTATTTCTCTTCCACATCGTGCTTTATGCCTTTCTGCTAAGGTTTCCAGACTCGGGATGTCCGTACAGTTGGGGTCATTTGCTGAGAGTTTCTCTTAAATGGAAGTGGATCGGACAGCCTCGGATTTGAAACTCCTGGAGCTGAATCAAGGGGAGCTCTCTGAAATGGTGCTGACCTTATTCGAGCAGCTCGAGAAGCGCGAGAATGAAGTGTTGTCCAAAGAGAGGCAACTTGAAGATAAAGAGTCGAAGTTGAATATGAAGCTTGAAGAGATAAAAAATGATGTCAAATCGATTGAGTCATTGATTAAAGTGAAATGTGATGAGCTTCAAAATAAAGAGAGGGACTTTGCTCGTATTGAAGAATGTATTTTTGAGGGTGTTAAGAAATTGGATTTGTTAGAGAAAAGTATTCAACAGAGATCCAAAGAAGTTGAGTCTAAGAGTAAGGAACTCGATTCGATTCAAGAAAAGTTGAAGAAGTTCGATTGCACGATTCAGGTGAAAGAGAGGCGGTTAAGCGTGAGGCAGAAATCTCTTGAAGACTGCTGCAAAGAAGTAGAGTTGAGACAAAAGGAACTTGAGGTGCTTCGACGTTCCATTGATGAGTGTGATAAGGAGATCACACTTTAAAAGGGAAAGCTCTAGTCTCTTGAGAACTCAATTGTGGAATGCTCGAATCAATTAGAGATAAAAGAAAAGAGACTTAATCATGTTCAAGAGTTACAGGAGAAGAATCTTGGATTGTGGAGAAAATTGACAGAACTATGTGCTTGTAGATTTGAGATAACTGAGATGATACTTGAAAATTTGATCGGGGAGTTTGAATCAAAGGCAGAATTACATGAATCAAAAATCAAGGAATTTGATTTGCTCAGAAAGGAGTTTGATGAATGCCTCAAACGGGTCAAATTGAAAGAGAAGAACTTTCTTTCACTTCAAAGTTGGTCGAAGGTCTCCATGAACTAGAAAAGTAAGAGAGCCAATTTGAAAGAAGGTTGAACGATTTCAGATTGATACAGTTTGAATTCGAATCCATTCGAAAGCCAACTTTATTGGCTGAGAAAAAGGTAAAGATTGAGCAATCAGAAGAAACCCATCATTCACCTGCAAGTTATCAATCTTGTATGGTAAAGGAAAACAAAGACTTCTTAGTGGTTTTGAATGAGCATTTGAAGAAGCACAATTTGATTTGTAATGAGATTTTTACTGCACTCAAAGCATCATCAGACCCTGCAAAGTTGGCGTTGCACGCAATGCAGGGAATCTACCATTTGAATTCAAGTGCAAAAAATCACAAGTTTGGTAAGAGTTTTGTTGGGAGAAGCTGCATTGTTTTGTCAGAGTCATTAATGAAAGCCTCATCGGAGATCAATCCTCAAGAGAGGAATGAAGCAATGAAGTTGGCACGTGATTGGAAGGCTAAGATCATTGCAGCAACTGAGAATCGTTTTGCGGTGTTCAGTTTTTTGCAGTTTGTAGCTAGCTATGGATTGGCCTCTACCATTGATGCAAATGAGCTTCGCAGTCTTCTTGATGTCGTCGGTCTGAACGGGCAGGCATTGCAATTAAGTTCATCCATTTGCGCCGTAGATAAAGCAACAGGTAAACTCTCTTGTTTATCTCTAGCTACTTAATTTATGCAGTGACATAGACTGAATAAGTTGATCATATTGTTCAAGTTCAATATTAAATGAAATCTGAATAATGGAGGAGGCTTGTAGATATGTAAGTGAATGGTGGGAATTGAAATGTTGATAATTCTTCTTTTACTTGTCATTAGGAAATGAAACTGGTTTTAAAATTTTTTGATTGAATTGAGAATCCTGCGTATTTTCTTTATGATTATTATTATTATTTCTCCATTCGTTCATGTACTGTAACATAACCATCTTTAATTAAGGTACAAGTTTAATTTCCCTCGGGACTCGACTGATTATGCTTGTGTAAAACCTGGAATTTCATTTCAGATGCTGCGGAATCTATACGAAACCATATCCAAAGGGGGGAAACCATCCATGCCCTTAGACATATTTGTGAGCTGAAGTTTACTGACAAGTTTCCGGTAGAACCAGTATTGACTGAATACTTGGAATATGCACAGAATTACACAACAATTATGTTTAACAAGGGTAGCAAATATGATGAAGCTAAGGTATGAAAGAAACCCTTATTATTAGTTCTTTTGAGATGTCAATATACACCTCTTAGTCCAAGACTGAAGTGTCATCTCCATCATTGGTATATGCAGAAGAAGGTGAAGGACAAAGAAGAAGCTGCTCTGCGAGCCGTTGCAGAATGCAATCTCGAGTCCGAGTTCCCAATCATAAGCCTGGCTGAAAGAATTTCGAAGCGTGTGGGTGTTCTGGAAAAGATGGGCCAATCAGTTAACCTCGAGGTTGAGCAATCGAAGAAGCGTAGAAACAACAATTTTGCTCTGCAGGGTCAACAAGTGCGGATTAGAATCCAGATTCCCGGGATAATTGGAGGCAATAATGATGCACTTTGTGCCAATTCGAGTGGCAGGAAGAATGCTGGCATGCCAGACACTGACCAAACTAGGCATCTTAGATCATTGCAACTTTCAGGTACTATTTTACAAGAGCAATTTCATATGGTTCAGTGAAGAAAACCCAACATGTAGTTTGTCGTTTTATTTGTCATTAAACAAGAGAGAGACATTAGGCGATTGTTACGTTGAAAAGCAATAAAATGTATATATATTCGAGCTGAGATGTGATATTAGGCTGGAAATATTTTTATTTGGGTTGCTTTTTTTATGTGGTCTTTTACACTGCTAAAATGGTTAGTTGTATTGCCATAAATGAAAGTATACAAACAGAACCTCCAAAAGGCTAAAGTACTCTTCATAATACTTCCAATAATTTCCTCAAAAGGCTAAGGTTCTCGGAAGCTTTTTAATCCAAGACAAAGACAGACAGAACCAATTATCAAATATATTTAAAAAATGAAACCCGAACATCACGCTTGGGAGTTGGAATATCCTAACAGTGGGGGTGTTAGCGAAAACGGCACTAGGTATGCAGTCGTTTTGTGCTAGAATTTGCTGGTTTGGTAAGATTTCTTCTTATCATCAATTGCCCCTTAAATTTTCAATTTTGACAATCAATTCCCATACTTGTAAAACTATTATAATGTATCCCATTTTACTAAATTTATTTAAATTTTTTATTAAATTTAAGAAAATAAAAGTTGAGAAAGTGAAAGGTTTGGAATGTTAGAATTTTTTGTCAAACGTGTTTTTTGACATTAATTTAACACTATAATTAAAAAATGGCATATTATAATAATTTTACAAGTTAAGAGAACTTGTTAAAATTTAAAATTTAAAAGTCAAATTATTAAAGTCATATAAGTTCAGGGCGCAAATGCATAAAATACTTTTAATTATATTAATTTTTCTTTTTTAAGATTGGGAGAGAATTAAGAACTTAAACTAGGAGAACCGATAATGGAAATTCATTCATCGACTCAAAAACATAAATGTTTATTTATAAGCTGTAAATCCTAAAGCAAATCAAATTCTTAATATTTCAAATTCATAATGATAAATATAAGGAATTTTTTTTAGTTTTTTTAAAAAAATATTAGTGTTATATATTTATCAGTCGTCAAATATATATTAAATCTTGTTAAAATCATTAAAAAAATAATAAAGATCTAAAGACTAATAAATTAAGAGCACATGTATTTTTTTTTTAAAAAGAGCACCAGATAAATTCCTTAAATATAATTTAATTAATTTATGGGATCCTAACGCTATTAATAATACGTTTCCCGAGGAAAGCGAGACGTTTAGGCAGGGAGAAAAAAAATGAAAAATGAAAAATAAAATAAATAAAATAATAAAGAAGGACGAACATGCGAAATCTTGCGTTTTTCTCAACAAAAAAAAAAAAAAAAAAAAAGAAAAAGAAAAAGAAAAAAAGTCCGACTCCTAAGGCGTTTCAAATTCCCTCTCTGGTTCTCTATAAGTATGTTATTCTATTCTTTTCCAAAAGCAAATCAGTTCAAAAGTTTTCTCAGTGCTCAGTAGGGTTTTGAACCATCTCTCCATGGCGGGAGACTGCTACTGATAGTGCTAGGGTTTCGTTTTCTTTGGTTATTCATTCGTTCGGACAGTTTGTGTTGGTTCTCTCGAAAATTCTTTCTGATGGAGGAGATAATCAACGATTTGAAAATCTCGGAGTTGAAGCAGGGCGTTCTCTGCAAAGCGTACGAAGAACTCCATTCTCAGGCTTCTTCGATGCTCGTGTTCAGTCTCCAATGGAAGGACTTGGAGAACCACTTCGAGTCAACTCGCAAGTCGCTGCGAGTCGAACTCGAAATTCTTGCGGAACGCGAGAGGCAATTGGAGGTTCGAGAGGCGGAATTGAATTCGAATCTGGATTCGAAAGCGAAGGAATTGGAGGGTGTTGAGAAGTTAATCGGAGAACAGGCGAAAGTTCTGGAATTGAATTTGCAACATGTTGATTCTCTGAAATCGTTGATTCAGGAAAATCGGGAAGAGCTTGAGGTTAAAGAGAAGCAATATGTTGTGATTCAGAATTCGATTGCGGAGAAGGAGAGGGAGTTTGCGTCTACGAGGAGTTCCCTCAAAGAGGGAGAGGAGAAATTGGAGTCCTTGGAGAAAAGGATAAAGCAGAAATCTAAAGAAGCTGAGTCGAAAGAGAAGGAACTCGATTCGATTCAGAGGACTTTGAGGGGTTACAAGGATGATATCGAGTTTAAAGATAGGAAATTTAATGCAATTCGGAGGTCGCTTGAGGAACGTAAGAAGGAATTTGAATTGAAAGAAGGACAACTTAAAATATGTAGGAGTTCCATTGATGAATGTGAGAAAGAGATTAAACTGAAAGAAGAAAATCTTATTTCTTTACGGAATTCAATAGCGGAGTGCTCGAATGAACTCGAGTTGAAACAAAAACAACTTGATTTAGTTCAGAAAGATCTTGGCTTAAAAGAGAAGGAATTTGTTTCACTGAAACAATCAGTGGACCAATGTTCTCAACAGTTTGAGATGAAAGAGAGGAAATTCCAAGATTACTTAGAAAAGCTTGAATTGAAGGAAAAGTTTTGTGAATCAAAATCTGAGGAACTTGATTCCTTCCATAAGAAGGTTAACGAATGCCTCAAAGAATGTGAATTGAAAAAGGAGAATTTGAGTTCGCTCAAAAAATTGGTACAAAAACGTTCCTGTGAACTGGAAGCCAAAGAGAGTCAATTTAACAAAAATGTCAATGAGTTTGAAATGAGACGGAAAGAACTCGATTTGTCTCAAAAATCAAATGAGTTGAGAGAGAAAGAATTGACTAATATTCTCCCTGCTCAAGTAAAGGTTGAGCAACCTGAATATACTCATGCCAACAATGCTGCAAGTTGTCAATCCATCACAAAGACAGGAAAGGACTTGCAGTTCCTCTTAAATCGGCATTTGATGAGGCATGATTCGGTTTGTGGTGAAATTTTTTCTGTTCTTCAAGCGTCGCCAGATTCTGCAAAGTTGGTGTTAGATGCAATGGAGGGGTTTTATCCTGTGCAGTCGAGTGGGCAAAATAGTGAGTTTGATGTGAATATTGTTAGGAGAAGCTGCATTCTTTTGTTGGAGCAGTTAATGGAATCCTCGCCCCAGATTAACCCTCAAGTGAGAGAAGCAGCAATAAAGTTGGCGGGTGATTGGAAGGCCAAGATGACTAAGGAGAATTATTTGGAGTCTTTAGGTTTTTTACAGTTCTTAACTAGCTATAAATTGTCATCTGCTTTCGATGCGGATGAGCTTCGCAGTATTCTGGATATTGTTAGTCAGCAAAGACAGGGATCAGAATTACGCCAAGTCCTTTCAACCGCAGATAAAGCACCCGGTAAGCTCTTCTATCTACTTCCATCTAATTTATGGAGTATATGATCTACACGTGATAAAATTGTCTTATTTGATTAAGTCTAAGACACAAAATTCTTTTTTGTTTATCTCTTAAGCTTAAGTAGAAATGTGTATAACATTTCCACCAAATGTCGTTTTGGGATCTCAACTATCTTTCCTTACAGGAAGTGAGGGAGTTGTCTAAAACATATTTCTTAAGTTTCCAGCAGCATTGGTTGCATTTCTGGACCTGCCACTTTTACCTTTAGGCACGTTTACATTGCATTAAAGGAAAAATGAAAGTAAGGAGTGATTTCATTTCCCTTTTAGTAATGTATTTACTTACTAAATCAATAATAAGAGTTTTGTGGGTCCCACTCAACATAAGGAATGAGGAAGGGATGTCAATCACTGCATCCCTGTCAAAGGGTTCCAATGTCACGTTTACTTGAATGTCCAAATTCAAATGTTATAATTCAATGGTTATTATTATATTGATAACATTACCATCCCTAAGTTTAGTAACACTAGAAAGGGAATGAGATTGTTTCCCATTGCACCATTGGTAAGTAAAAACTAAAAAGATAATAAATGATCCTCATTCCTATTACTTTACTTTCTTTTCCAATCCCATTATTTTCCGATAACATTCGCTTCCTTAATTTAACATTCAACTTAAAGAGTTTTCTTTGAATGTGTTTTAGATTTTCATTGTATGCAAGTTGTCACATGGATTGATTTCAATGACATCCTTTAATAACTAATTAAAGAGTCTTCTTTGAATGTGTTTTAGATTTTCATTGTATGCAAGTTGTCACATGGATTGATTTCAATGACATCCTTTAATAACTAATTACTTTTTTTTTTAATTTCCTAGAGCATGCATATAAATGGTCTTTTTTTGTTAAAATTATTTTTGGCGTCTTCTATTCCAAAATATAGCCTAGATAGCAAGTGCCTTTCAAGGGCTACAATAGAATCTAAAGGGTCCTATGGTTATCAGGTGTCAGTGGATTTAGGAGTTGCCAAAAATTATGCAGATTGTTTAAAATAGTAGAATAAATGATACACCAACATCTATCTACTTCACCATTTTTTTCCTTTTTTTTTTTTCCCAAATACTCGGCAAGAAACTTGATTTTTTTTTTCCACAGTCACTACTAAAATCGAGCAAGCAGAAAATTCATCGGCCAATGTTGTGACAAGCTCTTCAAATCTTCAGTTGAGCACCACGCAGAATGACGTTATAGCTCTACTTGAAACATCATGTGATCCGGCGAAACTTGTCTTGGACCATATCCACGGGTATTTTTCTCAACATTGGAAGAGAGGAGATGCATCTTTTGAGGAAAATTCCATGAGAAATTACATTCTCCTGTTTGAGAAGCTATTCAGAATGTCTCCAAAAATTCTTCCCATGGTAAAAGAAGATGCAATGAAACTAGCAAGAGAATGGAAAACCAAAATGAGACCAGAAACTGAAAATCAGTGGGAGGTTTTGGGTTTTCTGCAGTTTCTGGTCACATATAGACTGGTTTTTTCATTTGGCAAAGACGAAATTTTGAAGTTTTTGGAGACAGTTTGCCAGCACAAAGAGGCTCTGGAATTATGCCGCACTCTTGGTATTGCCAGCAAGATCCCTGGTAAGTTTTCTAAAATTTTGGCTTTTCAGCCCTCAGTTTTGGTGGGAGTTTGTAAATTTATCATTCTTTATAATGTTAATGGACTTGCCAAGTATTATAGACGATGAGTTTGATAAGTTGTCGTTGTGAATGTGAAACAGCATTAGGAACAGAAACTTATTGCGATTATTTTGTGATTGATTTGAGAGTTCCTGATTATGTTGTTTCACATTGACTTTTAACATGAGTTATGATTTCCTCTTTTTTCCTTTGCTGTGAATTGCCTGTGAGACGTGTGGAATATGCCTTTGTACAACACGTAATTTTATTTTGCATGTGGCAGAATTTGTTCGAGATCTTATCCGAAAGAAGAAGCTCGTTGATGCTGTTGCACTTATTTGCACATTCAAGTTAACCAAGTTCTCACCACTTACATTATTGACCAAGTACATGGAGAACCTGAAGGAGTATACCAAAACAAATTGCAAGGGAAAGAAACCTATCGAAGAAAGGGTATTAAAGCGTTGAGTAGCTAATTTCTCTTTGAGGTGTTGGTATCTGCTTCTTAGTCTGCCACTTAATTTCCATTGTCGTTCATATATTTATCAAGGCTAATTATTGCTTGCAGGACAAGATTACAGACGACGAGATAGCAGCTCTAACGGCCGTGATTAAATGCATTTTAGATTACAACCTTGATTCCAAAATTTTGATCGATATCTCGAAACGCCTGAAGCTGTTGGAACAGATGAAGAGGGATAGGAAGCGTTCGGCACAGTTGGCTCGCCCCAAGATTGAAAAAGAACAGCAGCAGCGTACATGGAAGAAACGAAAAAACGACACTTTTGTTCCCCAGGGTCAACCACAACATGGCAACAATAAGTTCCCTCGGACATCTTCGTCAACAGTTAGACCCCACGGCCCACCCACTTTCATCCCTGTCATTCCACCACCACCACTAGATTTTCCACCGAATCCACATGCTTTTGCTAGAGACCCTCCGCAGTTTGTTTTAGGTGGAAGCGGTAACATCATTAGTCCTGGTAGGGGTGTTTTCCCGAATGCCGGATCACACTACTAAAGTATGAAACATCTCTAAGCTTAAGGTGTGGCTTTTTTCTCGAGTCAAAAATGAAATTTCAGCTGGATTCACACTAGTCAACAGTGCTGCTTACCAAGAGTAGTTGTAAATGCTAAATAGTAGTAGATAATTAACCCAGTTTATTGTCTTTCTCGGTTTTTATGACCCTGAACATCTTAACACAAGTGACTCACTGACTGGACTAGATACTATTGCTGGAACATTTTGATAATGTTTAACGTTATTTACATATGTACAGTTTAATTTCGTTTCCCTTGTATTATATCATGTTTAACGTTATTTACACATGGACCTCATATCCCTTCGTCTGCTGTTTCCTTAAAAAAGAAAGGTTTTTAGCATTGTACCCTTGAACTTTTCGTGCATACATTGAATTTTAAACTTTTAATTTTTAACAATTAACTCTTTGAACTTATCAAATTGTTGCCATTTAGCATAAATTAATAGCGGAAATATCACGTGCTTCTCATATTTTGGTACCTTATCCCTTAAAATTTTTGTGCTCTGACAAATTGCTATCTAAATTATGGAAAAGTATTTAGTAAATTATAACATATATTTTTTTAAAAAGAATAATAGATTATAGCATAATTTGGTGCTTTAATTTTCAAACATGAATAAAAAGTTAAAAATATTCCTAAACCTCCTTTCTACTTTTCTCTCTCTCCTTTCCTCTCTAGTAAACTCCACCATGGTTGGCAGGTGACTCTATATATTTACTATATTTATCATATTTATCTGAAAATTCAACAACCAACTCTGACAATTGATAAATACTGTATTTATTAATAAATATCATATTTACTCGTAAATATTATATTTATTATATTTATCTGAAAATTTAACAACATACTCCAACACCTAATAAATACCGTATTTATCGTTAAATATCTACATTTATTCAAAAATCTAACGACCAACTCTAGTGATTGATTAATATCTTATCTATAGATAAATATCATATTTATTGATAAATTAAATATATACCATATTGAGAATTGAATTCAACGAATTCAATGAAATATTTATTAGTACAATATTTACCATGTTGGCAGCGGTAAATTATATTTACTCAGAAGTTTGACTGCCTACACGGTAAAAACCGTATTTACATGTAAAAATACTTTATTATTTTAGTCCGATAAAAATATGAAGAAATCCATAGAATTACAAAAATTTCAGCAAATTAACTAATATTACAAATTGATCCCAAAAATCCCAAAATCTGTACGAAATCAAAAGCAGAAACCCCAATCCCAAAATCAACCTCAAATCAGCCCCTTTCCTAAACCCTAAGCCTAAGCCTAACCCATGCTAGCCATCCCTTCCCGCCACAGCCAACCGACCACGTCTCAGCCCACGCCTCAACCCATGTTCCCTAAATCTGGCCGGAGAACATGGCGTGATCACTGAATCTCCGTCGCGACGTCATGAATCTCTGCCGGATCTGGTTCGACGTGCTGACGAGATCAGAGATCGGGTCGGAGGTTAGCGATCTGTTCGGAGGTCGTTACTGCCAGAGGAGATCTCGGAGGCGGTTGTTCGCGCTGGTTCGGAGATCTCGTCGGGGGTTCGCGATTTGGTCGGAGGTCGCAACTGCCGGAGGAGATCTCATCTTCGACGTCTGGTGATCTAGTCGGAGCTGGTGAGAGAGAGAGAGGAGAATCAAAGAGAGAGAACTCAGAATAAAACGTAAAGGAAGAAGAAAGAAAAAAGAAAAAAATAAAGGAAAAGGTGGAGCGGTAAATTTGGAAAAACAAATAATTTGAACCCTACATGATCTTAATTATGCTATTATTTTAACATGTTTAAAAAATATGTTATTAACTTCAAATATGGTATCAAAATATGCTGTAGGCTGCATTTTCCCTTATTATAATTAACAGTGGACCTATTTATTTTACTATTTTAAACGACATTATCAATTGGGATCATATTGTAATAGTTTAATAAAGCTAAGGGGTTAATTGCCAAAGAAAAAGAAACAATTTGTCATGCTTAAAAAAAAAAAAAAAAAAAACAATTTGTCAAGTCCAAAAAAAAGGGGACAAAGATAAAATGCCAATGGATGAATTAGAGGAATAATACTTCTACAGAGTTGCAAATCAATTTTACCGTTTTTCCAGAAAATCTAACTTAATTTTCATATTAGTGAATAACTAGACTTTAACAATGTGTTCGGTAGTGTGAACAAAAAGAAAGAAAATACAGGAATGATTTAAAAAATATATATAGAATTTTAAGATTTTTACTAAAGAGAAAATGAGAAAGGAAGAAAAATAAAGAACCCGTTTAGTTTGTTGATTCGAGTTGAGATGTGATTTTATGTGAGAGTTTTTTACTGTAATAAAAAAGTTAAATATAATTATTTTTGATAGTTTTTTAGTGTAATAAAACTCAAATTCTAAATGTAAATTGATAAAATGAACGGAGTCTTATGTCTCGCTCATTTTACTGATTTGAGTTTTTAATTCGAATTGAGATGTTATATTTTTTGAGAGTTTTTCACTGTAGTAAAAAAAGTTAAATGTGACATTTTCTGAAAACTTTTTATTGTAAAAATCTAAAATTGAAAACTCGAATCGATGAAATGAAGCAGATCTTAATACTTTCTTTAGCCAAACAAAAAAAAAAATACTTTTCTTCTTATAGAAAAAAGAAAAAATAAAAAAAGCGCCAAATACTAGTATACGAATATTCTTCTGCTTTGTGTATCCATGTCATCTGAATTCTAATTCACCCTTCAAAAGTTCGTAGCTTCGTAGGTTCTTCCTAGTTAAGTCATTGTTCCTTTTTCCCATAAAGTTAGTAAGCATGGGTACCCACTATCTTACTCCATTGTTCGTCCTTTAGCTTCTGCAAAACCAAGTGCAAAATGACTCACAATGCGCTTTACTTACATAACAAAGCCCGATCATCATATTCTTCTTCTCCTCTTATAGAAAAAAGAAAAAAAAAAAAGCGCCAAATACTAGTATACGAATATTCTTCTGCTTTTTGTATCCATTTCATCTGAATTCTGATTCACCATTCAAAAGTTCGTAGGTTTCTTCCTAGTTAAGTACTTCATTGTTCCTTTTTCCCATAAAGTTAGTAAGCATGGGTACCTACCCACAATCTTACTCCATTGTTCGTCCTTTACCTTCTGCAAAACCAAGTGCAAAACGACTCACAATGCGCTTTACTTACATAACAAAGCCCGATCATCATATTCTTCTTGTCCTCTCTAGTGTACAATATTCAACCAAACGAACAATCATAATTCCTTCTTGAAAATCTTGGCTTAAAAACATTTCCGTACAACCGCAAGTTTCAGAGCAGAGTCTTGGCGAAATGGTGGATCACTTGGTCTCTCTCCAGAAATTCATAGGAACCCGCTTGAACGAGCTTGAGATTAAGGAGAGCTACGTGAAAAAACTCCTTAAAGAACTCGAATCCAAGGAGAAAGAGATCGATTTGGTCCGAAACTTTGATTTCGGTTTTGGGTCTATGGCAGGCATGGACGGGAAAGAATTGTTGGGTTTCTTGAGTGGGTACGTAGGTCAGCAAGAAAAGCTGCATGATGGCATTTTCCAAGCGCTTAAATCGTGTGAAGAACCGGAAAAATTGGTTCTTGATGCGGTTAAAGAGTTTTATTCCGAGAACGGGGAAATGGATATTGGAGGAGGGACTGTTTGGAAGAGAAGCTGTGTGGTTTTGCTGGAGCAGTTGACGAGGCTGAGGCCCAAAATTGTGCCTCCGGATGGGAAGGCGGAGGCGGCGAGATTGGCCCGAGAGGGGAGGGCAAAGATGAAAATGGAGGAGGGACAAAAGGGTGTTGTGGAGGCCTTGGGGTTTTTTCTGCTTTTGGGTGCCTATGCATTAGTTGGTGAGATTGATATTGGTGAACTGTTGAGTGTTTTTGAGAGTATGGGGCAGCAGAGGGAACAAGCCGAAGCCAGTGAGTTGGAAATAGAGCTTGGTTTAGCTGGCACAGATCCGAGTATGTTTTGGAAGTTTGTATTGAATTGTATTTGTATATCCATAATAAGGTGTGTGCTTCAATATCTTTGTCACGGAAAATATGTCTTTACACCATTTGGAATGCAAATATTAATATCCAAATTATATTTAGAACCAAAAAGTATAAAAATGACAGTTTTTTTGCATCTATAAGAATTACGTAGTTGGTATGATATTCTATTTTTATACTAGAATGAATAATACAATTGAAATGTTATATCGATTTTATTCATGAATTTTAAGTTTTGGAACTTGGAAAAAGTAATTTTTAAATAATTTAGAAATGATAATGTTGTAATTATTAAGTGAAGAGCCAACCCATCGGCCAATAAGCAACCAAACTATAATTGGTGCTAAATTTGACACCAAGTTGAACACATGCCCAATACACATTAAGAATAACATTGATTAGAGAATGGTTTCTTACCAAATACCAAATTTTGGCATTGGCATAGAAATGTAGAATTGAATTGGAGATGCTCTTATTGTACCTTGAAAGAGCGGTGAAGTTGTAACTGGATCGATCCACTATTATGTGCATCTTGATTGCTACTTGTTTGAAACTTATTTTGGTATATAGGGCTTTGTTTATCTTAAAAGGTTACTTGCTTATGGTTTCTCCTTGTTGTGAATTGTTTGATCTTATACCTACTTAGTGAGCACAACCCTTGATTCTCAAGAAAAGATTGACCGGTCAATGAAGGAAGAATTACAGTTGGTCAACCAGATAGCTTCTTCATTTGCAAGCCGCTTGGAAGGGCTCAAGTATTTTTGTGTTGGTACGGATGGAAGGCATTTGAATTTGTTTCTCTATCAGCAGGTGGAGGAGTATGGTTCATTGTACAGTGAGGTTTATGATGCTCTAAGTCATGCTCCAGATCCAGCAAAGCTTGTCTTGGATGCAATACCCGATTTTTTACGTTCACAACCCCAGTTTGATAAGAGTCTAACAATGGCTAAAGTCAGAAAGAGTTGCATTCTTTTGTTAGAGCAATTAATGACTATATCCCCCCAGCTAAGCCCCCTTGTGAGGGGGGAAGCTTTGAAGATGGCAGATGTGTGGAGAGCTAACTTAGGACAGATTTATCAACGTCCAGTGACTGTGTATGGATTCCTGCTTTTTCTAGCGGCCTATGGATTAAAATCTAACTATGAGGCAGATGAGCTTCTTCGTCTTTTGGGAATCTCCAGTCAGTATAAAGCCTCTCCTGTTTTATGTCAGGTCCTTGGTTTGACAGATAAAGTAGAAGGTAAGCAGATCCCAAATATGTTGTTAATTTTCTTCCACTTTTAAATAAGAAACATATATCTATGTGCTCCAAATTGTTTTATTATCTATCATAGTTAAGCTTTATATTTTCATGCCATCCCTTATGTTTTGGATGGTTCGATGGATATCAGATTAGAATGACTAGAATTCGGCTTGTGGCAATCGTACTTGCAATTGGCTTTTGGTCCTTTTTTTTTTCTCTTTCTAGTAGCAGTTTGATTAAATCCACGGTTCTTGATTTATGTCTGACAGTTGTAATCCAAACCCTCATACAAAAGACTCTGCTGCTTGAAGCCGTTGACAATATTTATGCGTATGAACTGATGGATAAATTCCAGCCAGTACGTCTTCTAAAGGGCTATTTGAAGTTTTTTAAGAAAATAATATACAAGAAAGGAAACAAAACAAAATTACAACAGGTATTTGTTTCGTATGTTCTTTCTCATACTGCAAGTCAATATTGGTTAAGATTCAACTCTGAGTTTCGAACTTTGCTTACAGGATGGGGCCATAGACAGAGAAATAGCTGTTACGAGAACTGTTATCAAATACATTGCTAAATACAAACTTGAATCAGAATATCCACCTGATGACCTTGAGAAACAAATTGTGGATCTGGAAAATAAGAAGGAGCCCAAAATTGTATTCACACAGACAGAAAAGCTGAAATCGAAAGGGAAAAGTAATGCTCTAATCCATTCTCCAGTATGTAGTGAAAACAGTAGAAATTTTAATGAAATTTAGACAGTGAGTAAAAAATTAGCCTTCTTATGATAGATTAATGTGAATATTCAATTATAATAGACTTTGTTATATGGTTGCTACTTAATCCTTTATATATGATTGCTTTAAAAATTAGTTAAGTTTGAATGAGTTTGGTTTAAATTTAAAGTTCCCTAGCTGATGGTATCTCCATGCGCTGCTTGATGTTATGACTGCTTAGCGAGTTCTATCCCTCATTCCGGAGTAAAGGCTGAACCATCTGCGAGTCAAAAGGATTATCTAGGGTTGGACAATCAAACATTTTCTTTCTCCACTGGTCCGCGGCTTCAACTGGGGTCTTTCTGTATCAGTGTGGATGGAGGACGTTCAAGCTTCCTTTCCCATGAGCATGTGGAGGACCACGATTCACTGGTCTCTTCATCCGCTAGCCCTTGGCCTGAACTCAAGTCCTTTTGCATCAATATGGACGGAAAGAGTTTGAGATTGTTTCTATATAACCACGAGGCGGAGCATGATTTCATGTGCGGTGAGGTTTGTGATGCTTTACAATTTGCGTCCGACCCAGCAAAGCTTGTTTTGGATGCAATGTGGGGAATTCTCTGTGTGCAGCCTGAGTTTGATAAGAGTTTGTCATTAAACACGGTAAGAAAGAGCTGCGTTCTCTTGCTGGAGCAGTTAATAATTATATCACCCAAGATCAATCCTCATGTGAAAGTGGAAGCTCTGAAGATGGCAAATGAATGGAGAGCTAATTTGGGACAGCAATATCAGACTGGTTTGAATGTGTATGGATTTCTGCATTTTATCGTGGCCTATGGATTCACGTCTTATTATGGGGCAGATGAGCTTCTCGGTCTTTTGGCAACCGCGAATCAGCACAGAGCGTCTCCTGGTTTATGTCATATCCTTGGTTTGGCAGACAAAGTCGAAGGTGAGTAGATCCCAAAGATTGTTTGTTATAATCCCACCCTTTCATATTGAGAAATGAATTCCGTACTGGATTTCTAATCTGTTTGAACTTCATATGTTATCTATATCAAACTTCAGCGTAATCTTTCCTTGCAATCTCTCACCTGGTTAGAGTTATTACTGAATTAGGATAACTGTAATTTGGCTTAGGTGATAAAACTTTAGATATTAGGCTATTTGACGTTGTTTGTGATAGTTTGATGAAATCGAAAACCGTGATAAAACTTTAGATATTAGGCTCTTCGACATTGTTTGTGGTAGTTTAATTAAATCTGTGGTTTTTGATTTGTCTGACAGTTCTTATCGAGAATTTCATCCAAAGGTCTCTGCTACTTGAGGCCATTGAACATATATATGCATTTGAACTGAAAGATAGGTTCCAACCAGTACATCTGCTGAAGGACTATCTGAAGCAATCTAAGAAAAAAATATACAAGAAAGGAACCAAATCGATTTCGAAAGAGGTATCACTTTTTTTCTTCAAGCTACACTTTGGCATTTTCCATAGCATGAGGTTGAATTCTAACTCTGCTGCTTCGCTGTGATTTGCTTATGTAATCAGGCCATAGACAAAGAAATAGAAGCTGTGAGAAATGTAATCGGATATATCGCTAAATTCAAGCTTGAATCAGAATACCGACCTCAAAATCTCAAGAACTATATCGTTGAGCTGCAAAAGAAGAAAGGCACATGTAAATGAATGATACCGTACAGCCAGAGAAGCAGAAAGCAAATGATAAACTTATCAGTATTTCAGTTGAAAGCCGTGTAAAAACAATACACAATATCAAATAAAAATCTGTATTACGGGTTTTTTTGGGCAGGACGGATCTGGAGTGCCAAGCTCTACTTTTTTTACTCGGCAGATGAGCTCACTAAGATGGGCAGTTATAATTTGATGATCCTAAAAATGGGTGCATTGGGCATTCTGTATCTGCTAAACATAAAACGAGTAATGATGGCTTGTTCATTTGTATTTTTTGAGTTAGAGTGACTTGAGTTCAGATCTTGATTTGAGTTAAGGTATATTTAAGTATAGTTTGAGTTAAGACTCTAATTTGAGTTTGTGTTTGGATGTGCACATTTTGAGTTATGGTTTGAATTGAGAATCTATTTGAGTTTGTATTAGGATGGATCAAAATTTAAATTTGTATTTAGGTAGTAGTTTAATAAAAACTCAATAGTGATGAAAAATTTTAATATGGTATATTTGTGAGGTTTTATTCGTCTCTTTGTAACCTAACCATTACTGGCATGCACTGATCACAAGGAAGATGTCAAATGCTTCCCGGCAAGGCAAGCGCTGAAATTGATTACTAAACATTTCCCTTTTTATTCTTCTTTTTGCCCTTTTGAGCCATTCTTATCCCTTCATTCATTTTACCTACAAACTGCCACCAACTCCAAGTACCCCAATTTATATATAAGTCCCAACATCTCTTTAAGTGTATTGCCCATCGCAGCTTTTCTGTCGTTGCATAGCTTGTTTTTTACTTCTTTATGGAATTGGACAGCATTGCAATCCAAGTAGATAAATCCAACTAAATAGCTATTCTTTCTGTATTCAAATTGTCTTCTTGGTCTCTTTCCAAATAGCTTCTGTTTTTTTTATTTATTATTATTTAAGGGCAAACAACTGGTACACACATCAATCCCAGTCCTCATTTGTTGTAGTTTCTTTGGCAAATTCCAAGGTGTTGGGATGAAGAAAAGTTCAACCCTGATCTGTGCACCACTAATGGCTCAATCCATTGAGCAAATGGTGAGCCAAATGCACCAGGCAAAGGCACAAGGTGCTGATATGGTGGAGATCAGGTTGGACTGCATTGACAACTTCCAGCCCCGCAATGACCTCGAAACCATCTTGAGAAACAAGCCATTGCCGGTTCTTACCGTGTACCGGTATGGCTTCTAACTAGTTAGACCTTTTTATCTTGTGTCAATTTGGCAAGGCTAACAAATGAGAGACTTTTCTCTTTCTGTTTTGTAAGAAGCTTGTTCATGATTTCAGGCGAAAACAGGAAGGTGGTCTGTACGAAGGCGATGAGCGTGCTCGAGTCGAAGCACTTCATTTGGCTCAAGAGTTGGGAGCTGATTATGTCGAATATGATCTCGAGGTATAATGCTTTAATGTTCTTGAGTTTGTTGAAATATTCAGTTTTTTTAATATAATAGTCTCTTTTTCAGTCAAGAACTGTTGAAAGGCAGAAAACTTATGTGTTTTAGGTGGCTTCCAAGCTTGTGGAGGAAAACAAAAAGGATCGTAGTAGAGACAGCAAAATTATTGTGTCTTGCTATGTGAATGGAGTGACTCCTTCAGAAGAAGATCTCAGCCATATTGTTGCAAGCATTCAAGCTACCGGTGCCGATATTGCCAAACTCGTCGGAACAAGACCCACAATGCGCTTTACTTACATAACAAAGCCCGATCGTCATATTCTTCTTCTCCTCTCCAGTGTACAATATTCAACTAAACGAACAATCATAATTTCTTCTTGAAAATCTTGGCTTAAATGTCCGTACAACCGCAAGTTTCAGAGCAGAGTCTTGGCGAAATGGAGGATCACTTGGTCTCCCTCCAGAAATCCATAGAAACCCGCTTGAAGGAGCTAGAGATTGAGAAGACCCGCGTGAAAAAACTCCTCAAAGAACTCGAATCCAAGGAGAAAGAGATCGATTTGGTCCGAAACTTTGATTTCGGTTTTGGGTCTATGGCAGGCATGGACGGGAAAGAATTGTTGGGTTTCTTGAATGGGTACGTGGGTCAGCAAGAAAAGCTGCATGATGGCATTTTCCAAGCGCTTAAATCGTGTGAAGAACCAGAAAAATTGGTTCTTGATGCGGTTAAGAAGTTTCATTCCGTAAATGGGGAAATGGATATTGGAGAAGGGACTGTTTGGAAGAGAAGCTGTGTTGTTTTGCTGGAGCAGTTGACGAGGCTGAGGCCCAAAATTGTGCCTCCGGATGTGAAGGCGGAGGCGGCGAGATTGGCCCGAGAGTGGAGGGCAAAGATGAAAATGGAGGAGGGACAAAAGGGCGTTTTGGAGGTTGATCAGTGCGTAATTTTTGCACTCATTTGTTACTCCTTTAGCTAGTTTTGGCATGTTTTTTCTCAAGTTTTTATGTGGATTTTATGATTTTCCCTTAAGTGTGCAGTAATGGATGAAATCGCTGAATTTTGAGGCATTTTGGATCAAAAAGACAGAGAATGTGGCGATACGTCGCCTTCAGATGGCGATGTGGCTTGAAAAGGAGCAAAAATCGACGAAGAGACAGCAAGAGTTGCGACATGCCACTTCCTTCTAGGCTATATATCGCCGACTCTAGGCGATATGTCGCCTGATTTGCCGACTGCCCTAGTCTGGTGCACAGAAAATAGAGAGGGCTGCGATATGTCACCTATTTCTAGGCGATATGTTGCCTCCCGATTTCATTAAAAACACGCATTTTTGCCCTAGGTTAAAAAAGGAGATTTTTATGGAAAGTGATTGGCTTCTGGGGAGGCGTGCAGAATGTGGGATATAAAAGGCGAGACTAAAAACTGCAAAAAGGAGGAGAAAAAGGGTTTGCAAAAGGAGAAAAACTTAATCGGAGAGGATTTGAGATTGGAGCAGTTCTTCAAGATTTCCAAGCGTTCTTTCTTCTCTTTCTTCTTGTATTTCTCTAGATTTTGAATATTATTTTGAGACTGAGAGCCACATGATGTGTGACTAATTTTCTTATTTGTTAGGGTTTAGATGAATCTCTATTTGTGATTATTGTTTCGACGTTTTAATGTGCATTTAATTAAGCTCTTCGTTTCTTTCGTGTTCTATTTTGAATTATTGCTGCTAAATCTATGATTTACATATTGTCATGTGTTGCAAATAATTTGACTATGCTTGCAAGTGCACAAGTGATGAGTGTGTAATTTATGCACTCATTCGTTACTCCTTTAGCTAGTTTCAGTGTGTTTTTCCTCAAGGTTTTATGTGGATTTGATGATTTTCCCTTAAGTGTGCAGTAATGGATGAAATCGCTGAGTTTTGAGGCATCTTGGATAAAAAAGACAGAGAATGAGGCGATACGTCGCCTTCAAATGGCGATGCGGCTTAAAAAGGAGCAAAAATCGACGAAGAGACAGCGAGAGCTGCGACATGTTGCTTCCTTACAGGCGATATGTCGCCACATACAGGCGATATGTTGCCACTTCTAGGCAATATGTCGCCTGATCTGCTGCCTACCACAGATAACAGCGAGAGATGTGATATGTCGCCTGTTTCGAGGCGATATGTCGCCTCCCGATTTTATTAAAAACACGCGTTTTTGCCCTAGAGAAAAGGAGAGATTTTTATGAAAAGTGATTGGCTTCTTGGGAGGCATGGAGAACGTGGGATATAAAAGGGGAGACTAAAAACTACAGAAGGGAGGAGAAAAAGGGTTTTCAAAAAAAGAAAAACTGAATCGGAGAGGATTGGAGATTGGAGCAGTTCTTCAAGAATTCCAAGCGTTCTTTCTTCTCTTTCTTCTTGTATTTCTCTAGATTTTGAATATTGTTTTGAGACTGTGAGCCACATGATGTGTGGCTAATTTTCTTATTTGTTAGGGTTTAGATGAATCTTTATTTGTGATTATTGTTTCGACGTTTTAATGTGTATTTAATTAAACTCTTCGTTTCTTTCGTGTTCTATTTTGAATTATTGCTGCTAAATCTATGATTTACATATTGCCATGCTTTATGAGATTTTAAATTGGGCAGATTTTTATTGTGAGGATTAATACTCGAGAGGGGAACGTTCAAGCAATCAAGAAACGGATAGAACAACTTAAGTTGGTGTGAGATCAAGAGATAAACATTGCCTAGTAACCGAAACAATTTTAGGTTGTGAAATTAAGAAGTGGAATTCCAGGAATTGTTTCTAGAGTGAAACTTAATGAAGGTAGGGATGAATAGTTGTATAGAGATATAGGCTTGATATCACCTACACATTCTTTATGCGGCACTCGAGAGAGGGTATAAGGATATACATCACTCTAGGTTCTTGAGAACGTTGAGTTAGGTTAGGCACATTACTACGGAGAAACATAATCGCAATAGAGTGAGCATTTTTATCATATTGATTTTTCGTTCTAATTTCAGCACGTATTATTAATTACTGTCATCTTTCCTTTTGATTTAGTTTTCCTTTATTTTAGTTTTTCTTTGAGTTTATCACATCCAAATTTGATCACTTAGATAAAGTTAAGATATGATATTCACAATAGTTAGTTTATATTCTTAACATCAATCATCGTGGGACGATATCGGTCTTCGGACCACTTTATTACTTCTACGACTTGTGCACTTGCAAGCGTAGTCAAATTATATTGCAACAAGTTTTTGGCATCCTTATAAATAATGGTTTGAAAGAAGTCCTTTAAGCATGGGGCTACCACATCCACCCGGTTTCAACTTGGTCACCATTCCGGAAATTTCATGGCGTTACTAATGTTGAACTTTACCTCTTCGCCATTCACCCAGAGTGTCAAGTTACCATCATGGACATCAATCAAAGCCTTCCCGGTCGCAAGAAAAGGTCGGCCCAGAATAATAGGAATTTTCTGGTCTTCCTCCATGTGTAACACCACAAGTCAGCTGGAAAAATGAATTTATCAATTTTAACCAAGACATCCTCGATAATACCTTTAGGGTAGGTGAGAGAGCGGTCCGCCAATTGTAATGAGATGGTGGTAGGTGTGATCTCTCCAAGGTCCAGCTTCCGGAAGATAGAGAGAGGCATGAGATTGATGCTAGCCTCGAGATCACACAAGGCCTTCTCAATATGAAGTTCTCTAATGATGCATGGGATGGTAAAACTACCCGGATCTTTCAACTTCTT